GGGAATCTCCCCTCTAATTTTCGTACCCCATGTGGGCCGAGCAAGGACAGATCTGGGATGGGAGGTGAGCTTGTGGGTTGGCCTCCGTGAGATGGGATCCCGAGGGAAGGGGCTGGAACATATCCCAACTCATTTTAGGGTTTCTGGTCGTTTTAAGCAGAAGGGTGGGAAAGCTGCATCCAGGAGTTGGATTCACTCCTGGGGCCTGGAATGGGGTTGGCATCACTTCCTGGGGACTCAGAGGCTCTCCCCTCCCTGCACCTGCCTCATCACCCACATCCCTTGAACTGCAAGCCCTTACCTTCCCCAGTCTTGGAGGTGTTGATGTCTGAGTCGTCCCGAGTCCCATTCTGGGCCTCCAGGTAGGTGGCAGGGACCCAGCCCTGCTCCTCAGAGGTGCTCACGAACCACCAGCCTGCAGAGGGGCAAGAGAGAATGCAGCCATGAGAGCCCAGCAGATGGCAGAGGTGGGGTGGGGGCCAGGACAGGGAGGGAAGGAGCAGTGAGCAGGAGACGGCACAGAGCCACACAGCCTGGGCACCTGGCAGACGCCTGGCCCACACCTGGCCTCCTAGAGCCCAGGCTCCTCTCAGAGGAAGAAAAGACCCTCACACTCCCTGAGAAGAGGGCCTGTTGGACCACAATCCACTCATATGAAATGTCTGATGACAAAATTTGAAAATGAAATTGAAACAATGATCTGCCCAACGTGTGAAAGTCACTTGGCAGGAAAGTCCAAGGGAGCTTGGGCCAAACACAGAGACCACATAGGGTCTTTCAAGCGCACTAGGACCTCCAGTCTGACCACGTTCTCTGCTTTCAAAGGCAAGTGCAGGTAGAAGCCTCACAGATACCTTCTGATGCTCACTGCCCCCCTTCCCACCACGGGTCAGCGGTACTTTCACACGGTGCTCCTCACAGCTGCCTCGCAGTGTATTGACGTTTCAATCACAGTTTAAGTGGGCACTGCACCCTCGAGTGACCCTTGACGGTCACAGCCAAGTGATAACAGCTCACTCATTTTCGTTCCCATTTGTTCACTCATTCATTCATCATTCAAACAAATGTGGAGCAGAGTACTTCAGACTCCGGAGTCTCGGGACGCCAGCTGCCTTTGGTCCCTTCCTAGAAGGCACTCTGCACAGGATCCCGTCTCTGCCCCTAAAGCAATTAGGCACCGATTCTCTTTTCTGTCATTGTATGACATTCTGTCATAGTGACATTGTGCATTATTTCAAATTTGGACTGCTTCCTGTCAAGAGACCCCAGGGCTCTTCCATGGACAGCACTGAGGCCCCGTAACCGCCCACAGCAGTGAGTGGCTGCCTGAGGAGGGGGCACGTGGGGGCCTCCGAGTGCTCCCATCTGGGCTTAGCACTGGGAGAGAGAGGAGGCTGCCTGGGGGCTGCTGTGACAGCAATGGAGACAGACAGAGGACAGCGGTCCCACCACTGCTCAGGACGTCAGAACCCATGGTCATCACCCAGGTCTTCAACTTTCAACACCCCATGTCACAGGCTTGGGATAGCAAACAGCCTGTGGTCTAGTCCTGAATGCCCACGGCACCCCAGCCTTTCCAGGGAGTTCCACAACACTCTGCTGGTAGCTCTGCAAAGCCCATGAAACGCCATGACATCTGTATAATACCATAATGTTGGATACATGTCCTTAGACATTTGTCAACAACCCACAGAATGTCCAGCACCTAGAGTGAACCCTAACGTAAGCCAGGGACTCTGGGTGATTAGGACGTGTCAGTGCAGCTTCATCAGTTGTAAAAAATGTACCCCTCTGGTGGGGCATGTTGCTGATGGGGGAGGCTGTGCATGTGTCGGGGCAGGGGGTATATGGGAAACCTCTGTACCTTCCACTCAGTTTTGCTGTGGAACTAAAACTGCTCTAAAAAAACCAGTCTTAAAAGGAAAAGAAAAGTCACAAAGGTCTGGACTTCTGAGGCTCAGCCCTGAGCTGGGTCACCGCCCCTCTGAAACCCAGGACAGATGCCTTCTTTCCCTCCCTCTGCTGGATTCAGGTCAATTCCCTAGTCCTTCCCCCAAGAGGGGTGGGTGCGGGCCACCCCATGACACCCCCAGCCCCTGGCACATTCTGGGCCTACCATGCAGAGGGCCATGGAACGGGCTGCTGGGGGCAGCACCTCCATCCTCTCTGCGGCCTGGGCTGCAATGGCGTGGCTGCTCAGGAGGCCGTGGCTGAGAGAACCCAAGGAAGCCAGAAGACACGGACTTGCAGGGGTCTCTGCCTGGGATGTCTTCTCCCCTTCTCCAGACACTGGGGGAACACTCTCAGGAACCCCAACAGTCCCTGCCAAGAGGCCCCAGCCCCGTCTTCCACAGAGCCTGACTGGAGCTCATGGAACAGGGCTCCGCATCTCACAGAGGTCCCTGCCCTGTGGCTCTGCTTCCTTGATCACAAGGGTGGTCACATCTGGCCATCATGTTCTGACAGGTCTGTCATCTCCCTGGACACTGTAATGGCTCAGGGTCTTTTCCAGGAATGGACATGGGTGCTTTGGAGATCTGAACCCTAAGTGCCACATTAACAAGGAGTTGCTGGGGTATGTGGGAACAGACATCCTGAGAGAGTTAAGTCAATAAAGCAAAGTCAAGAGATGGAGAAAGTCAGTCCTGATTAACATCATTTGACTCTATGGTGCAGGTGTGCTTAAAGCTAGGCCACCTTGTTGGACTTCCGAATTACAGCCAACCAGTGACCTTGCTGAGTTGTTTAACTCAGCCAGAGCGGGTTTCAGTCACTTGCTAACACCATCCCTACCCAGCAATCGAGGATCATAATCTAAGGTCTGCCTTCATGAGTCAAGTCTGGAGAACAAAACCCAAGCCCACTGGGCACCTGCTACCACAGACCGCAGTGAGCCCTCCGAGCCACTCTGGGTAAGTGATCCCTCCCCAAATTTCCACTCAACAGGATAACCTCTAAGAGCCCCAAAGAGCAGTTACCACACACAATGCCCACCTTGGAGTCACTTTTAGGAGGATCTTGAAGGCTGAGGCGCTCATGTGACTCCCCAGGTCCAGGTCCCAATGCCAAAAGCACACAGGTTTTAGTTCCCACATCCCCTCCAGACCCCTGCCAAATCGACCACCCCAGTTCCACCCCACCCTCAAAGCCAAGCCAAGTCCCAGTAGGTTGACGAAGTGCCCTGAGGCCCGGCCTCAAAGGGGAGCCCTTCTTCCCACGAGAGGGTTTCCCCAGGATGGGCCTGGGCCGGGGCCAGGGATCTTGTCATCAGACAAAACAGGGATGTGCCCAGAGGAACAGCGGAGCTTGGATGCATGCGTCTTGTTGAGGATTTGCCAAGATCCCTCTGTGCCCGGCCCCTCCGAGCCTATTTTTTCTTTTTTTAAACAATAAGATGTGTCCGCTGCCAACTCCTCCCTCTGAAGTAACCTACTTTTGCTCTCAGTGGGAGCATATTCCCTCCTTTCCCGTGTGAGCCCACGGCTTCCTAGGAAAGCAGGCAACTTGAAGCTCCAAGCAGGAGGATGGCTGGGGTGACTGTCTTCTAAACCTTCACTCTACTTCTGGAATCTGGGCTCCAAAGTCATCCTCTGCAGTGGTGAAGGAGGCAAGTCCCTCTATGGGCACCAGGAGGGCTTGTCCCGTCCAAGCTTGTCCGTGTCCTCATCTTTGTGAAGCAGGTCCCACGGCCTGCTGGCCTCTTGTTCTCTCTCTGCATCTGCCCCCATGGCCATCTTGGGAATGTGCCCTACAAATGGACCTTTCTCTTTGGTGCCAAGGACCTCATAATCTCAGGATTTAGCTCTCTTTTCTGCTGATGGCATCATCTCCCCTTCCCACTAACTTCACCCTTCAGTAATCTTTCCATGTACTTTCTGCTCCGTCCCTTCCCGTAGGAGCCAGGGATCTGGGATGAAAGGATAGATCTGGACTTGTCTGCGCAGAGAATCTTCCAGGGGGTAGGGAAGGGCCTGGCACCAGGGTGAGCGGGCAAGGACTTGCTGAGGAGCTGAATGTGTGGCCAAGGTGCCCAACGTGCAGGGTGGCATGATGGTCTGCAACTCACACTGCCTGGGTACCCCTTGGAAGTTTCAGGGCTGTCTGAGTCCTTCCCACCACAAAATCTCTGCTGCACCGGAAGTTCTGGGGAGCCTGAGCCACATTATTGGCTGACTATGATCATCTCACCCCAGGGCAGCAACTTAAGAGTCTGTTTTCCTGCTGCACCCCCAAGACTTGGGGCAGAGAACCTCATCATCCTCCTGGCATGGCTCTGTGGCCCTACCAGCCTTCCACTCCAGCCCTGACACATGCAGAGTTGGGCTGTGTGGCTCCAAGTCTCAGGTCCCTCCTGCAGCAGGTCCTGCAGAGAAGAGCTCGCTACTTGCTTGGCTGTGGGCACTTCCACAAACCAAAGGTGGACAGGCTCAATCACTGCCCAGGTGGGCATGGCTGAACCTGGGCAGAGCTGCCCACCCCAGCTCCATGCAGCCCCCCCGGGAGCCCTAGCACAAGCCACACAGTCGGGGCTCTAGGGCAGGCTCCCTGGGCCTGCGCCCACCCACAGCTGCTGACAGGCCTCTCCCAGATGCCAGCAGCTCAGAAGTCGAATGCTGCAACCAGGCTCCTGACCAAAGGCACTGCTGCTCCACCAACGAGCAATTAGAAACTGAACCGCCCCTGGGTGCAGCCCAGCTGGCCAAGAGGATTCAGGCATCAGCCAGCCCATGGAGCTCCCAGGCTCTCCTCCAGTGCATACCATGTCCTCTTTCCTGCAGAGGCACAGAGCGTGGGGTGTGGGGGGGTGTCTAGGTGTGGACAAGGCTCTGTATCTTTGAGTACGTGGGAGGTGGGATACATCCATGTACACGTGTGGGTGGGTGCCTGCGCACAAGGAACAGAGGTGTGGCTGTACATGTATCACACATGATGATGATCACGATGAGATGCTCAGGAGAGCACTTGGTGCTAACTTTACACACATTTACTTGATTTAATCTTCAATAATCTTGTGAAATAAGCATTGCTGTCATCATCATCCCCACTTTACAGATGAGGAAACTGAGGCAAAGATCACAATTAGGAAGAGGTAGAGCTGGACTCAAAACCAGGCAGTCTAGCTCTAGGACCCATATTCTTCACCACCACAGAAGTGGATCAGGTACACATTTGCTACATACAGGAGGGTAGAGGTTCCTTGAGAACCTGTGTCCCCGAATATTGGTGCTTTCTCTACGTGCCTGTCTGTGAGTGGGTCTGTCCCTGTCACTGAGTGTTTGCTTTGTGTGTGTACACCATGAGTAGGGATCCAGGCTGTGTGTACTTGAGTCTACAGGCAAGGATCCTTTGGTGGTAGAGAGTAATAATCAGAAGTCTGGGGTTGAAAGACTGAAAATCAGGTCCTGGCTTGCTACT